CTTGTTGCATAATCTCTAGATCACCCGGGGGATTTTCTGTTGATTCAGTTTGCCGCTTAATCTCTACCATGTTCTTCTATGGACATAAAAATCATATATATATATATATATATATATATATATATATTTCTTAGTGATTTATAAAACGATGAAGACATACAAAAGAGTTCGTTAAACGTAACTTACATATGAAGTGCGAGAATAGTCATTAACCCAACCTTCTTTTTCTCTATAATGTAACTTTCGAAAAGTCTCTATCTCACCGATAAGAAGATTGTCAGACAATCCTCTATTTCGAAAATGGTGATTTGGAGTGGTCGCTGTACCGTTTAAAGCAACATACTTTCGCTTCCCCCTATTCTCAGAATTTTTCTTTGACATAGCCTACAGAAACAAAATACGGTTTTAGCAATAACAAAGATAAAAATATGTTTCAAAGTCCGTATATATGCCTGAGATTTTAGCAATAAAAAAGATAAAGAGAGATGCCCAACATAAATGTAACTGCAATAAATACCAAACCAAACGGAAAAAGGCTACTACCAAACTGCAAAATTGATTGCTACATTGGGTGATCTCAATAGAAACTGTACACAGCTAAATTATCTGATCTCAATGTTATTATCTAAACTCAACTTTTGGGGTTTCGTTGCTATGTGTTTTAAGAAAAAGTGTCATGTCAGCCATGTGAAGAGAAAACTTAAACACCAACATCTTCCTGTGGGTACTTTGCATCTGAACAGAGAAATGCATTAATATGAACCCCTTCCCAAATTTCTCAAATGCTTTTTCTTTTACTGCCTTCTTTGGAATCTATAGAAGTTTCAAGAAATCTTGGATCTTTTTTGTGCAAAGCTGAACAGTAGGTAGGTTTCAAACAGTAGGATGAAACATGAAAGCACATTAAACTGCAGATAAGCATCAATTCCTCTAATGTGCAATCTCATTTAAGTTGTGCAACAACGGAGAATACACATGGGGAGATCTACTAGGATGAAAACACATTAAACAATGTAAAAGCACCAGAAAGAAGGAAAGTTACAAGTACCCAAAAAGATACAAGTCATAAATATAAGAAATACTAGGTTTTTACAGTTTACATTTATTACAAGACAAAGGGAGCATGCCACATTTACATACACTAATATGACAATAACGAGCAAATGATATGAAATATTCCAGGAAGTTTCCACCAATTTACTAATCAAAGAATGACGGGTTGATTCATTTGATAATCTTAATTAAACTATGATGGATCATATTGATTATTTATGGTCCGGCACTATCAACAATTTCGTAAATTCAGCTAGTCAACCCCATATTATAAGATCTTTTAAGGTTTCACTACAGATTTTTTTTAGATCAAGCATGCATGATGGATAAGCATTATGGATAATCTTGATTAGTTATGGTCCATCACTATCAACAATTTCCTTAAATTGAGTTAGTCAACCCCTTGTTATATTATCTTTTAAGGTTTCATTATAGATATTTAAACCAATCAGGATGCACAGATGCTACAAAGTGAACGAGGATGTCCAGAATGAAGCTGCCCAGCCGCCAAGGGTATGACTTTAAACCAACCTAAACCAAAAACGAACCCATTATATCTCATTTAAGAGTAGGATATACGGAAACCTGTCCTCTACTCTAAAACGTATGACTATAAACATGCCCAACTAATTTTTAGTTTACAGTCAAGCTTAGGAGATACTAAATTGTGTATGCATGTAACTCTTTGTTCAATGGTGTTGTGCCTAAATGAGCAATTCTGATATAACTAACTGAATGTTACATAATCCCTCATCTAAAACCAAAAACAATACAGGTATGGATCATTTGTCACTTTTTATTTTATTTTTTTTATATTTCTTACCAAGACATTTTCAAGATATAGAAAATAAACAACTTACATGAAACTTCTCCGAACTCCAGTAATCGCAAAGTATATGCCAAGCATCATCTGTAACGTTCAAGTCAGTTGGGTTCATTCCTTTGGCTCTTTCCACGTCCTCTTGGCCATGACATTTTAAAAAATGCTCCTGCAGCTTTGTTCGGTGATTTTTGAAAGATCGACCCATTTGGAGGTCAATCACATCAACCACAATCTTCGAAGACAAGTCGACATCAAAATTAAGGATAAGAACAAGAATGACACAATATTATAAATAAATGTCTAAGTGTCAGTGGTTAAACATATATGTTGTGTATAAGGAAAAAGAAATTTAGGTGGCGTTTGGTTCGCAAAATGTTTTTGAATGAAATGAAATTTGTTAAAGAAATTTGACTTTAAAGGAATTGGAATGAAATGTTGTCAATCTGTTAAGGAATTGAAATAGGTCAGTTTGGTTCACAGAATGTAGCTTTGGAATTGTAATGAAATATTGGTAAATGACCAAAATGCGCTTTTTCGAAAATTTTAACTTTTTAAAACTAAAAATATTTTAATAAAATATGTATTTAATATGTAAAACAATATAAAATACACAACCCAAATATAATCATAAGCCAAATGACGTTACTAAATAGATAGCAGTTCAGATCGGTGGTGGTCCACAGTGGTTTAGATCAGTGGTGTTCGGCAGTGGTTCAAATGGCGATGGTCAACGGTGGTTCAGATGGACGGTGTTTTAGATCGGTAGTGGTGGTGGTGTTTCAGATCTGATGGTGATTCAAATCGATGGTAGTCACTGGTGGTCAGTAGTGGTTCAGATCAGTGGTGGTCCACGGTGGTTTAGATCAATGGTGGTCGACAGTGGTTCAGATGGCGGTGGTCAACAGTGGTTCAGATCGATAGTGGTCCACGATGGTTCAGATGGAGGTGGTCAGCAGTGATTCAGATGGACAGTGGTTCAGATCGGTGGTGGTTCAAATTGTTGGTGGTCGCGGTCTTCGACGGTGATTTAGATCGATGGTAGTCGCCGATGGTTGACAGTGATTCAAATCGGTGGTGGTTCGTGGTAGTTCAGGTGGCGGTGGTCGGATGTAGTTCAGATTGGTGTTTGTTCAGATCGGTGATGGTTGGCGGTGGTTCAAATCAGCGGTGGTTCAGATCGGTAATAGTTGGCAGTAGTTCAGATAGATGGTGGTCTGTGGTGTTTCAGATAGCGATGATCGACAGTGGTTCAGATCGGTGATGGTTCAGGTCGGTGGTGGTTCATATAGCGATGGTCGGCGGTGGTTCAGATTGACGGTGGTTGGAGGTGGTCGACGATGGTCATATTAGGTTTTATGAGATTAGAGTATATTGGGTTAAGTGTATATTTGGTATTATAAAAATAGAGAATTTCATTCCATCAAAATACATGTAGTTGCTAAGGAATGTTAAATTCATTTATTTGTGGAATTTGTAGGATTTTGAGGAATCCTTTCGTGAAAAAGAATGAACCAAACAATGGCATGGAATTTGGTCAATGGATTTCAACATTCCAATTCCATCAGATTCCTTCATAATATGCAAATCAAACGCCCCCTTAGAATTTAGGTTTATAACAAGGTCGGTTTCGGATGGGTCAAGGACCAAAATGGATAACCCACCCCGATCCTACTTTACCCGCATAATTTTCGGGTTTCGAGTTTTGGACTAAATCGAATAGTGGGGTCGAGGTTTTCTATAGAATTCGGATTGGGTTCGGTCAGGTTTTTTGGGTTGGGTGGGTTTTGCTCACCTCTAAAATCATGTTTGTATTAATTATTAAATAATTATATTTGGTTTATGATATTATTTATGATTTTTAATGAACATTTTTTTTTTATAAAAAGCAAGCTACAAAATTTGGATTTTGATAGTTTTTATAGGTAATTGTTGGTATTCAGGTTAGTTTACACGTATTGATTAATCTTTTAGATGGTCTGAAAGAGTTTTGACAATGTCTAAATTTAAACTTAGGAAAGCTGGTACATCACAATCCAAATGGATGATAATTGAATTTCATATTTGAGTCATCTTGACGACATGTCCGGCTTTTACTTGACTGGGTTTCTTGATGTTTTTATTATCGGAATATTTTCTATAATTTAATTTCAAGATTATTAGAACTGGTGGTTTAAAATAAGACAAAATGCACAAAATAACAATATAGTTTCATAAATTTCTTTATCGTAATATTGTACTTCCAGTTTTTCTTATTACAACAAATTATTTTCAAACTATTTTTTATTAAAACATTGTACTTTGAAAAATTTACCATTATAGCATTGAGTAACCTTTTGATTTAAGTTTACCCATTATACCAGGTTTCTATGTCACCTCATTGTCCACGTAGGCTCTCAACATGTACTGCAGTGACGTGACTTTCTTATTACAACATTGTATTTTTAAAATTATTTTATTATAGCATCTACTAGTTCTTATTAAACAGTGTACTTTTAATTTTAATATTTAGATATTTTACATGTTATTTAATAAATATATTAAATAAATTAAAAAATTCTAAATTATTCATTAATATATCAATATTAATAAAACTAATAGAAGACAACTGACCTCGCTAATATTTTTTTAAAGAATATGTGTTTTTTGAAAAAAGAAAATAAGAATTGTTTGTTTTTTACCAAAAAAATATTATCTTTTAAAGAATATATTATATTTGTTCAAAAACTTTTATTTGACGTATAAATAGATTAAATTAATTAGATTTTTTTGAATTATTTGTTAATATAACAATATTAAAAAATTGTAAAACACAATTTATTTCGTTAACATTTTAGAAAGGACTTTAAAAAATATGTATTTTTTTGAACAACATAAAATAACAAGTGTTACCTTTAAAATAATGTTTTTAGTTTTCCATTCAAAGGTTGAACATATAACATATAATTAATATTTAATATATTTCAAAATTAGGAAAAAAAATACAATCTTTACTTATAATTTACAAATAAACACACACATATATATATATATATATATATATTATTAATGTTAACAAACACAAACAAATATAAAAAATACATTCCAAATTTATTCCACACCATTTAATAATAATTTAGTTAAAATAGATTGAACGAGAATCAATCAAAGTTCCACTTCAAAACACTAATATTAGTTGGCAATCTGAATGGTGGTCGGAAGGCCGTGAAGAACTACCGTCTCCACCGTGAGACCTGGTCCAAACCCAAACAAAACACCCCACTCCAACCCTTCTCCGGTCGTCGTCTTCCCTTCTTCGATCGACTTCTTCCTCATTTCATCGATAATAAACAACACACAAGCACTCGACATGTTCCCATATTCACTTAGTACGCTTCTTGTAGCCCTCATCTTTTCTTCTTTCAGACCAAGCTTTAGCTCCACCTGATCAAGTATCGCCGGACCTCCGGGATGAGCTATCCAGAAAATGGAGTTCCAGTCCTTTATACCCAATGGAGAAAAGGCTTGTGTTAATGCTTTCTCTATATTCTTTGATATCAATCCAGGGACGTCCTTGAGAAGATGGAACGTCAGTCCTACTTCTCTCAAATGTCCATCGATTGCGCCTTCAGAATCCGGTAAAATGGTCTGAGCTGCAGACACCATCTCGAACAACGGCCGCTCGACGGTCAAGTCCGGGTCCGAACCGATGATAACGGCTGCAGCCCCATCTCCGAAGAGAGCTTGACCTACTAGTGAGTCGAGGTGCGAGTCGTTGGGTCCGCGGAAGGTGACAGCGGTGATCTCAGAGCAAACCACGAGGACTCGAGCGCCATTGTTGTTCTCTGCAAGGTCCTTGGCTAGACGGAGGACAGTGCCGCCGGCGAAACAGCCTTGTTGGTACATCATCAAACGTTTGACCGACGGCCGGAGGCCAAGGAGTTTGGTGAGCTGGTAGTCGGCTCCCGGCATGTCGACGCCGGAGGTGGTGCAGAAAACGAGATGGGTGATCTTGGATTTGGGTAACCCCCATTCTTTGATGGCTTTGACGGCGGCTTCTTTTCCGAGCTTCGGGACCTCCACCACCACCAAATCTTGTCGAGCATCCAACGACGGAGCTTCATACTCGCACATATTAGGGTTTTCTTTCAAGAATTCTTCAGTTATGTGCATGTATCGTTTTCTTATCATCGATTTATCACCTGCAAATGTTCAAAAATCTCATGATGAACAGATAACAACTTCGTTTGTAGACGTTCTTATGATCGGAAAAACGTAAAACAAATTTTCTAAAACAGGTAAATCTCATTAGGGTTTTGAAGACACCAAGATGTACGAAGATCTTACATCCGCCCAATCGGATATGTGTGAGATTGTGAGCAAAAAGATGGAATAGAAATATAGAGACAAGTATACGTACACATGCGTTGAAATTTCTCTTTGAGATCGACCATATGTTCACTCTTGGTGATGCGAAAATAGTAGTCGGGATAATCAGCCTGATAAACACAATTTGGAGGAGTGGCGGTGCCGATAGCAAGGATGGAGGCCGGACCTTGTGCCCGTTGGGATTTTCTAATCGTATTGATATCCACGACTACAGGAGAAGAGGCCATGATCGGTTTGTTTAATTTGAAGTTTTGTATAAGCGTAACAAATGATATGCAAAAAGGTTTATGTTCGTTCTATATATATAGACACGAAGTGGTAGCTACAGTTATAAGCAATTGGTGGTTGTTAAGGTTTCATTAAAATTGTACCTTTTATGAAAAACCATTAGCTTTTTATCCTAAATATGCATTTACATTTCTATTTATTTTTATTGACTTTTCTTAATCTACGATTGTTAAATTTAAGCTTTCAGGGCGTAGATTTAAGTGTGGTATACATCTGAGTGTCTGAGTCGAATAACTCTATACGAGAGTTACCATTCCTTTGGAGATCGGGTCATACTTGGCTCTTAAGTCAATCATCTACCTAACCTCTGTGTACTTAAAGGCTGTTTGGCAATTGCTGAATGATTTGGTGCATAATGATTAAGTAGTCAGAATGATTAATAGACTCTAATGATATAGTGCAAAATGAAATATAATTGTTTGGTAATTGTGTACAATGAAATTAGGGCTCTTAATGGTTCAAGGAGATTCATGATACAAAATCATTCAGATGGTTTTAAAACCATTAAGAGACAAACAAGATTCACCTCTTAACGGTTCAGAATTTGCCTCTTAATAGAACTATTAAAAGGTAAGCAAACGACCCCTTAATTTGTGTCTTATATAATGCTTTTAGGGCTGAACGTCGGCTTACTAGGGTTTCTGATTACAGACCTTCTTGCACAAACAAGCCACTAACGATACAAACATTTTTAATGGAGAATTTGTTATCACTTCATGCTTCATCTCAAGAGTTCGTAAAGTCTCCGATACTTAGCTCGTTTTTTTCGAGATGATCCAACGGATCTTGGTTCTTTAAAGGGTACTCGTAGAGCAAGTACGCTTCTCGTAGTTTTGTGTAGATCGTTCTACACTTGTGTATAGAATTGACATGACTAATTAAATCGATTGGGTAGTTCTGCTTTTTACAGTAGCATTTAATCTTTTAATTGAAAGCATCGATTATGTTTGGAAACCATAAACTAGCCTTTTTTTTTTGTTTATTTAAAAAGTCTCGTTTAATAAGCCCTCTTTGAAAAATTAATTGAGATAGCGTTTCAAAAAGTCTCAAGGTTTTTCTTTCAGTAATTTTCTTCCAGTTATGCCATTTATATTTTTCTAATTAGTTTTTTAACATGTCCTTTTAGATCATTTTACATTGTTATATAACTTATAAGGTGGTTTTTACAAAACATGACTAATTTCTTATATATCAGTTATTTCATCAACCTAGTTTGCCAAACATAAGCATTATATTCTTGATTTTCGAACTACGCACATATCCACACGCCTATCATGATGATTTAATTACGAATACTTGGAAAATGGTCCTGACTTTTCTGGATCGTTCACTTTTTTTTTTATAATGATCAGAACAAATAAAAGTACGATACAAGTGTGAGTGTTAAATAGCCACCCAAAGGTAGCATTTGTATAAAGGAGAAGTATTAATGTTAAGCTTTAAACATACCCTTTGGGAACAACTGTACGGGTTTCTATAAGAAGATGCAGTAATTTTGAAGTGCTAAACGATAATTATATCAGAATACATCAAAAAATGAAACATAGATTAGTTGAGCTTTAAACGTATAGTATGGTACCAACTGTACCAAATATTACAAAAAAGAAAAAAAATAAATAAAGGCGTTCTCGAAAGGTTAAACGAAAGTTATGTATAAATACATAAAAAATAGTATACAACGGTCGATCAAATTATATATTGGAAGCATAAAGGTATGTGGAAGTAATTGATTGTTCAATTTACGGTTGAAAAGTCACGAGTGTCATATTAATGAATTTGTTTGTAGACCCGTTTTCAAGAATACGGAGTTATTAACCCATGTGCTTACATTGTTAATTTGGGGTCGATTTTATTTCCTTGTTTATAATGAAGAAACATGGACAAACATAGTTATGTATCGGTTAGTTTTACGACTTATAAACAGAACATTAGTCGATCAAAAGCAAAAAAGACCGACAATTCTTGCAACAAAATATTGTAGTTGTTTTGTTTTCTACTACAAGAAAACTGAAATCATATAAATCATAAAAAAGCAGAAAAACAAGCAACCTTGACACATGTTTTTTTTTCGTAACTCATGATAAGTTGTTGTTTTAAACGTTGTTTTATGTCAATGTAATAGTTATACCTTTTAAAATTCGAGTGGACGATTTCACTCGATGTATGTGAAAACGAGTTATATTTTATTGTTGACGTATTAAATATAAGTTTCTATAGCTTTAGCTTGCAAGGTAAAAAGGTAAAACACACACACACACATATATATATATATATATATAGAGAGAGAGAGAGAGAGAGAGAGAGAGAGGTTGGTTATTATACAACTCTGGACATTTGTGCAACCAATACAATCCAATCTCAATCTTTCATTTAATTTGATTAATTTGTGATTTCATAGAAGTTTTGTTTGTTTTCTATTATAAAGTATTGATCATAATTAATGAACCATATTCATCTTCCATAAATATTTGAATCATAATAAATGAACTCTCACCATTTCTATGAATATCTCAATTTATTGGGTTGCATTGGTTATAAAAATATGATTGGTTGTATTTGAAACAATCTCTCTCTCTCTCTCTCTCTCTATATATATATATATATATATATAAGTTTTTTTAATTAACTTGGATATTCAACCCGCTATGCGAGCCGACTAATCCCAGAACGACCACCTGCTTTGCAGATAGCCCGGAATCACCGCATTTGAACCTCCGTAGCCACAAAGGGATTTTTTGTTTCTCCTTGGATTTGAACCTAGGACCTCCTGGTACTTTTGATATTTGGAGGCACCACCCTTGTGTTTATATATATAAAAGTTTGTAGAAAGAGTGAGAGATCAAGGGTTCGGCTTACTGCTTCATCCACATATCCCTAACCCCGAGGCATGCAATTTTACCTCTCTAGTGGAGATCCTATGACCGGTTTAGTGGAAACGCTGTAGAAGTTAATATAATACTCTTTTTTTAACAAAATGAATCAGACAGTTGAATCAAATTGGTTAACGAAAACAGATAAAACGAATTCTATATCACTCGTAGAATAATCAATTGTTTGTAAACTTCTTAATAGTTTTCCGGATGTTGACCGGTCAATTCGACTAATTATCATTTAAAAATTTTATTTATTTTAACATGCATTTGTTGTGAAAAAAAGGATTCATAGTAGAAAGAGAAAAGTGAGTTAGGTAGGACTTGTGGGCAAGATGAGGCCACGAAAATGGGGGTTAGCTTCTCTAATCAACGGCTAGGATGCAATCACCTTTGCTTCTCTTATGAACATTCACATCCTAAAACTAATTGACGGCTACGATCCTTCCACGTTTGCTTCTTTTGTAACATTTAAATCCTAAAAGGCTGAAACTAATAGACCGCTACGATCCAATGTTTGCCTTTTCTTTTTCTTTTTTCACAACATTGAATACGTCATGTTTGCTTATTTCATTATAAAACCTAACTTTTTTATTTTGTTTTATTTTTAATAATAAGTTTTAAAACAAATCAATAAACTTTCTCATTTTAAATGATTAAGTCATAATAAAATAGTAGTATATAAAAAGTTATATTATTCAATTTAAACCGACTGACCATAATCACATAATTCAATGGTAACGGGATAAAATCGGATCGAAAATTTCAACCATCGACCTCGCTCTTTTTGATACGTTTTTTATATCTCTCGATTCTCTATCTTTTTCAACATTTTAATAGAATAGTATAGACAGATCAAAAAAAGAGGGAGAATCGAAAAAAAATGATCAAAAAGAGGGAGATCGACGGTGGAGATGGGCAGTATGGACAAACGACGATGGAGCAAGCAAGGAGGAGCGTTGTTGTTGGGTGTGAGGGGTTTGAACGATGAATGTTTTGCGAACGGTTAAAACTTATGTAGTTCTAAAATATTTCAATGACTTATTTATTAAGAAAAATATTTGGGGACTTAATCATCTAATATGAAATAATTCAGTAATTTATTCATTCAAAATAGAAAAGTTCGATGGGTTTTTTTTATATAATAAATGGGTTAAATGCATGAAATAGCAACCTACTTTCATAATTTTTTTTATTATAACATTATACTTTTGTTTTTCTTTATTACAGCAATGTACTTTCAAATTATTTTTTATTAAAACATTGTACTTTAAAAAATCTACTCATAATAGCAATTGGTAACCTGTTACCTTTTAAACCGGTTAACCCTTTGACTTTTTTGCTTGTGTGACTTTAATGAGATGATGTGGATGACACATCATTTTGATGACTTAACTAAAATTAAAATTAAAATCTATTTCAAATTATCATTAGTAATTTTCATTTTTCATTGCTATAATCTAAAAAAACTTTTTTTTTTACTTTTTTTTATTAAGTTGCATGCAAATTAAATATTCTTAGAGATATTTATTAAATAAACATGAAACATTATTTTCGAGATATATTTTGCTTGTAAAAAATGTAACTTTTCCTATTTTATGTTCTTCAAATAAATACATATCTTTTAAAGTTTTTTTTTTGAATATTAACGAAATAAATTGTTATCTATAAAAAAATCTTAATTTAATATATTTATATGTCAAATAAAAAGTTTTTGAACAAATATAATATATTTTTTAAAAGATAATATTTTTTGGTAAAATTATTTTTCTTTTTTTAAAAAAACACATATTTTTTGAAAAATATCAGCTAGATAAGTTGTGTTCTACTAGTTTTATTGATATTGATATATTAATGAATAATTTATAATTTTTTTAATTTATTTAATACATTTATTAAATAACATGTAAAATATCTAAATATTAAAATTAAAATACAATGTTTAATAAGAACTAGTAAATGCTATAATAAAATAATTTTGAAAGTACATGATGTAGTAAGAAAGTTACATCACTATAGTACATGTGGACAGCTTACGTGGACAATGAGGTGGCATGAAAACCTAGTAT